TCTCTCTCTCTCTCTCTCTCTCTCTCTCTCTCTCTCTCTCTTGCTTCTGCATTTTCCTTTCATTTGGTGCTCAAACCCGGGAGAGAGTTTCAAGTGAGGGAATGCCAAGCTCAGGCTACTTCCATTCGTGGCAATCCTTATATGGTCAATGGTGCACCCCCACAGGGTCTCAGATCTGGGGCTTATAAGGATGCACTAGGGCCAAGAGGTGCATAAGCTCCCAAGAGGGACATGGCTGGTGCCCAATTCCATCTTCAAACTGCCCAACCTCTACAAAACTCTTTCTCTCCCTATCTTCTATCACTGTTATGAGTTCTGCTAAGCCTCACCATCATACTGACAGTTCTTTTAGGCACAGAGTTGGGAGCAACTACCCCTTCTGATTGGACTTGAGCCCAAAAATTATTGTTAGTAGGCTTTTTCTACGTAATAGCCACACTGCTCTGGGGCCTGACCTTTTGGTCATACATAAGCCCTAATTTCCTGTTCCTCTGAGACCTCCTTCAGGGCCCTTCACCAATTCCACTCCACACACTCAACACTGGCTCCAGTTTCTACAGGGATGGGTAAGACCTGGACTCTCTGTCTGGCACTCCATGGCACCTTCGTTGTTCTTGTCTCTCCCCATCCCTCTCTTACTCCAGCCATTTGCCCCCTCTACCCCCAAGTCTGGCCCTTGGCTATGTAGGTTAGAGACGTCTGCCTACTGCCCAAGATTCATTTTTTCTGGTTTTGTAAGCTTTCTGTGGGAGATGCCATAAAGAAAACTTCCTGACCCCAGCCATGGGTAATACTCACTCTAAAATTCCCTCTGACTCACCCCTGAGGTGTCTCCTGAGTAACCTCACAAAATTAGGCCTAAAGAGTTTAAAACAAACATACCTCATCTGTTTTTCCACACAAATTTGGCCACAATATAGATTAGATAACTCTTCAAAATGGCCTAAATTTGGCACTTTTGATCCCAATTTTCTCCAAGATCTTGACAATTTTAAATGGCAAATGGCAAGAGGCCCCTTATCTTCAGGCTTTCTTTCATCTCAAATCCAGACCTTCCCTTTGTTCAAACTGCAGCCCCCTCAAAGTCCTTCTTCTTGATTCTCACCCCTCCCCCTCAGCTCCTGCTCCCAGTCCCTTTCCATCAACTTTTGATCCAGATCCCGCTAATGGACCTCCTCTTTATTGGTCTCCCCTTCCCCCAACCCAACTCCTCCAAGCTCCTTCTCCTCTCCAGAAGACTCTTCCTCCCAACTTTCCCTAGAAGACCCCTCCTCAATCACGGCCCCTTCCCTTTCTTTGTCTGCAACTCACACCTAATCCCAAACAAACACTCCCACACTCCTACAACTATCCACATCTACACATTCCCCTCCAGCCCCAGTTCTTCCCCTATGAGAGGTGGCACAAGTGGAAGGAATAGTCAGAGACCATGTCCCTTTCTCTATGTTAGATATCTCCCAAATCAAACAACAATTGGGCTCCTTTTCAGACGACAATCTAAGATACCATAAAAAATTCCTCCATCTTACTCCAGGCCTGTGCCCTCACATGGGGTGACATTTATAATATTATTAATGACACTCTCATGGAGGATGAAAAGGAGGGAACATGGAAGGCAGAAGAGCAGCATACTGATCAACTCCATGGACAGCATCCCAATAGACATCCCCCTGCCACTGAGGCAGTACCTAAGACTGAGCCTCAATGGAACTATCAAGATGAAAACCTCACCCTCTTTATTAATCACATCATGGAAGCAATGATTAAATATACTACTTTAAACCTCACTTCCCAAGAGGGCCGTATTTTCTTACATCTCTCCGTTATTAGTTAGTCAGCTCAAGACATCATCTGAAGAAATCTCCAAAAACTTGAAAAGGGCCCCCAGACTCACCAACAAATATGAATAAACAGAGCCTTTGAGTTTTTTAACAATAGGGATGAGGAAGCCAAACAATTAAGGGACAAAAATACCTGCACAGAATATCAGATGCTGACCTCCATACTCCAAAACCAAAAGCAGACACCCCATACCACCCTAAAAAACCTACCCAAAGGACCTGGCTAACAGCCCTCTGGGGACTTCTTCAAGTGTGGAAACAAGGGACACTGGGCAAAATCTTGCCTTAATCCATGTCCACCAACAAGGCCTTCCCACAATGTTGACAATGGGAACATTGGAGGGTGGACTGTCCACAGGGAAAACAGCTTTTTCCACGTGTACAGCCTCAAATTCTTAATAGCCCCCCAACTGAGGATCCAATACCAATGTTTCCACTAGGAGACTGATAAGACCCGGATCATAAAGTCCCCACCACTGGCAAGTCCACTGATACACGGGTAACTGAGACACTATCAGGAAAACATAGTTCTTTCTTTCTTGATACTGGGGCATCCAGATCAGTTTTCACCAAATATGTGGGTGCCCTTAAAAAGTCCTCCTTCACTAACCTCACTCAGAATGATGTTCTCCAATTCCATCCATTTACCAGCGAATGTTGTGAGAGTAGATGGCATACCAAACACACCCAGCATAACACCCCCTCTCTATTGTACTTTTGGAACTAAGTCCTTTACACACTCCTTCCTGGTCATCCCAGTTTGTCCCTTTCCAAAATTAAGATGAATATACTCCATATACTCAAAACCACCATTTTTATCCCATCCATTAATTCTGGCCAGCACATACAATTTATTCTCCCTATACAGGACCTTCCACAGCCCAAAACCTCTCCCCACCTCTTACAGAAGTCAATCCCCAAATTTGGGACACATCCCACCCCTCCATAGCTTCACATCATACTCCTGTAAGATTACTCATAAAGACCCCTCCACCCTCATCGTCATCCCACAATGTCCCTTGGGCAAGGAGGGACATATGGGATTAAAATTAATTATAGATCAACTCAAAACCTCTCATCTCTTAATCCCTGTTAACTCCCCTTACAACACTCCAATCCTCCCAGTTAAAAAACCCAATGGCTCCTTTAGATTAGTCCAAGACTTAAAAAAAATCAATGCTGCCTTTAACCCTGTTCATCCTAATGTGCCTAGTCCTTATACTCCTCTCCCCCAGATTCCTCCCCAAAACTCTTTCTTTTCAGTCCTAGATCTCAAGGACACCTTCTTTATGATTCCTTACATCCCTCCTCCCAACCCATATTTGCCTTCATGTGGACAGATCTCATTACTTATCACACCCAACAATTAACTTGGACAGTCCTCCCCCAGGGATTCAGTGACTCCACTCACCTTTTTGGCCAAGCCTTACAGCAAGATCTCAATTCCTTCAGTCTTTACCAAGCAAGCTCACCAATATGTAGATGAACTCCTTCTATGTAACCCCTCAAAATCCTTATGTAAAACCCACACAATTATTCTCTTTAATTCATTAACACACTGGGGATATTGGGTATCAAAAAATAAGGCCCAAGTTATCTCAACTTCAGTATCATTCATGGGACTTTTATTAACTTCAGGATATTGTCAAATACCTCAAAAGAGAAAACCACCATACTCCAAATTCCTTCCCCTAAGACAAAAAGAGACATCCTTTCTTTCTATGGCTAACTGGGTATTTTAGAATCTGGGTTCCTAATTATTCAATAATAGCAAAAACACTATATGAGGCTGCAAGAGGGGACCCACATTAGACTTTACTTTGCCCCAGGGACCTCCTGACCCCTTTTAATCTCCTCAAACAAGCTTTATCAAGGACACCTGCACTCTCCATCCCAAATCCTAACAAAATTATTTGTCTATACCTACACTCAGACAAAGGCCAAGCTTTGGGCCTGGTGGCCCAAAGGGCAGGAGATTCAATAGTTCCTATAGCCTTACCTCTCAAAACAACTAAACCCCATTTATAGTGGCCAATAAAAGTATTGGCCACAGCAGCTCCCTTAACACCAGAAGCTCAAAAAATAACTTTCAACTTACCTATGACAGTCTAGTCATCTCACAACAGTCAAGACTTAATTAGCCACAAAGCTTTTAATTCCATCTGCACATCTCATGTTCAGATCTCACAGTCCTTTCTCTTACAACCTCATGTAACTTTCTGGTGATGTCAGTGACTAAACCCTGTTACCCTCTTACCCTCAAACATCCCACCTAACCCAGAGCCCCCAGCTCATGACTGTATTGAGGTATTTTTTGACTGACTTACTACCTTTTTCACATCCTAGACACCCCCATACCTGATGCTCCAACTGGTTTATAGACGGTAGCTATACAAAGGCCCCCACTACCACTGCAGCTAGAGCAGGATATGCAGGGACACCCAAACAATAATACATATGCCATAATAGAAACAAGTAGCCCTCCTACGACTACCTCCCAACAGGCAGAACTGTATGCTCTTACACGAGCATTACAAAGGCAAAATACAAGACCGTTAATAACATTTATACAGACTCAAAATATACATACAATATCATCCATTCTAATAGCCAAATGTGGAAAGAACAGGGCTTCTTAACAACTAAGGGATCCCCAATTGCCAATCAAAACATATTATGGCCCTTTTACTAGCGGACACTCTCCCTCACATAGCTGCCATCCTTCATTGTAAGGAACATCAAAAAGGTAACACCTTCACATCTATTAGCCATAATTTGACAGGCACCACAGCTAAACAGGCAGCCCAACAAATGACTTCCACGCCAGGTCATTCTACCAATTCATTATAATTACACACAAAAAAAATTGAACTATTAAAAACTCAGTGGGATAGCTAACACAAAGGATACTGGTTTCTTAACAATACCATTATTCTACCAGAACTACAGACTAAACCCATACTAACTGCCCTCCACCAAGTTTTCCACTCTTACCCTCTGTCTTTACTCCATTTTATTAAAACTCATATTGCTCCTAATCCTAACGTCCACAAAACACTAAAGGAAATCTCATCCTCTTGCAACATATGCTCCAAAACTAACCCCCTATCAAACATCTGACCCGCCCCCTTCCCACCCATCAGGCAAGAGGTCACTTACCTGGGTCAGACTGGCAAGTGACTTTTACTAATATTCTCCCCCGTTAAGCACATCAGATATCTTCTAGTTTCATTAACACCTCAGCAAAATAGATTAAAGCTTTCCCCACTATCAATAAGAGAGCTAGAGCCCACTGCCTCACACAGGCTTGGGCTAAATATAAGGGGCTAATAAAAGAGTACCAAAAGGTCATAAACAAATATTGTTACTGGGCAATCAAGAAAGATAAGTTATAGTTAGGTTACTGTCTGCTCAACTATTCTTGGCACCAATCCAGGGAGATAAAGGTTAACAACTGTCCCTTTGTTAGTCTTTGGGGTGGGGAGTTTCCAGTAAGCCACCTACAAGAAGGGAAATGGTCTGGTCCTAACATGCCTGTCCTCACTGTCAACCCCAACATACCTGCCTTTTTTGATAGATAGGTAGATAGGAAAAGGACAATAAAATTTCGTTCAGCTACTTTTCATCCCTCCCTTCAGGGACACTTCATTACAGCCATATCAGACTTCTGTAACAGGAGACTCTACCTCAATGCTATTTTAGTCTTTAACATAACAAGACTCTATCCAAATCCCTTCTCTAAAATTAACTGCAAACTGTTATTCACACCTCACTTCTGGCTTTTCCTCTATCCACCAACCCACCGACTTATCATGGACTCCCCCACACCCACTAGTGCTTCTTCCCCTCTCTTACAACCCCTTTTAACGGCCTCCCCTCTCCATCTCCTTTCACTCATACCAAAGGAAAATAAAATGCCAACTGGCTAGAACCCCTCCTCTCTCTCGAATTAATGGGATGCCTCCCCCCTACCATGCATACACGTGTCTGCCTGCTAACTGGATTTTCTGATTTTCTGATTCCCCCTGTCTCCTACACTATTGACTCAGAAATCATTCCTGTCCCCATTGTCAGCTTTATATGCACAAAAAGAGAACTGCACCTCTTAACCAGGATTGGGACATGATAGATGGAGTAGGGGTTTCAATCAGCCAATTCCAAAAACTACTCACAGCTCTAAAAGAAAGCCTTAATAGCATTGTCTTACAGATGTCTGCAATCCAGGATCAGATTGACTCATTAGCAGTGGTCGTCCTACAAAACAGGAGGGGATTAGATCTTCTCACAGCTGAAAAGGGCAGGCTATGTCTCTTCTTAGGGGAGGATTGTTGTTTCTTTGCCAATAAATCTGACACTGTCAGAGACATAATAAAAAACTTAAAGATAGGGCACAACAGCTACCATCCTCGCAACCTACTGATATTCTTTCCTCCTTATACCCATGGCTCACTCCATTGGCAGTTCCTCTCATCCGTGTTCTCTGGCTTTCATGTTTCTACCAAGTCTTATTAATATCCTCCAAAGATTTCTGCAGGAGTGTGTTACTGCCGTTTCTCGGGCTACCCCAGGGAGCAATTTAAAGCCATCATGCTTCTACAACTCTCCAGACTCGACAACCCCCCACATTGTACCTGACCAGCAGGAAGTAGGCAGACCAGCGATATATATAAAAGGCCAGGAATGCTGGAATATCGAGAGACACAAAAACGATACAAACAAGGCTACCTCCCATAAAAGAGCCAGAGAAAAACAACACATATGGCTGGCTGCCCAGCCTCGCTGACCTTCCCGTTAAAGTCCGGCGCCTCTCCTCATCCCCCCTTTGCGTCATTTTTCTAATCTCTATCCCCCTCCACCCTCCCTTTTCCAACCACAGGATGCATCAAACCCCAGCCTGTAAGAGAGGCTGCCTCGCCCCTCTCAGAGCGTTACTGTGAGGCTGAGGGTCCTTCTCAGATCTCCTCTCCCTAATAAAGACCTGCTGCTGACAAAGGTGGCAGATTCTTTCTCCGTCTCTCTCGCTGGCTTCTTCATTTTCTGCTCACTAAGTACACTGTACAAATCTATGGAATTATCACAATGAAACACCCCACACTATCTATGTATGCTAGTTAAAAGGCACAATTTTGGAAGGATAAAGAAGAAAGATGGAGGCGGTGAATCTTATTAAGGTCTATTTTAAGCATTTAGGTCACTGTCACAATGAATCCCAACTATAATATGCTAAGAATAACTTTTAAAAGGTATAATGTTTAAAAAGAAAAAAACCTTTAAAGAGGAAAGAAAGAAACTGAGCTGGGAACCAGTGACTCACAGCTATAATCCTAGCTACTTGGCAAGCTGAGATCGGGAGGATCACAGTTCAAGACTAGTCCAGGCAAATAGTTCACAGGACCCTGTCTCCAAAATAACCAGAGAAGAATGGAATGGAGGGGTGGCTAAGGCAGTAGAGTGCCTTCTTTGCAAGTAGAAGGCCCTGAGTTCAAACCCAGTCCACCAAGAAAAAAAGAAACAGAAAATATTCTAAACAACAAAATCTTTAGCTGTGGAAACTTTAACATGATTTGTGTTGAGTAAAGAGTTTTTCTCAATGAAGCGTCTGATCACTATTAATAGGTGGGAAGGGCTGGCAGAGTGGCTCAAGTGGTAACAGCACCTGCCTAGCAAGCATGAGTTCAAACCCCAGTGCTGCTAAAAGTATATTGAGTAGGTAAAGGTATGTGGAGAAGTTATTAAATAGAAGTTTGAAATGTCACACTTTGAAGTAAATACTCAATTCATATAAAAGAAAAAATGACCTGAAATGACTCTAAGCCAGCTCTCTCCTGCATATGACCCAGGTGGGAACCATGGAATGCACATCACCTCCTTTTACCAGCATGCTCTCCTCTCAGTACTTTTTGATCCTTTGCTATCTCAGCTGGGTAACCCAGCTCTTAACCTTTAAATTTCTCAGGCTTGGGACAGGGACCAGTTTGTTGTCATCTAACTGCTCTAACAAAACTCCCACTGAAAGCCTCAATCTAAGTTTAAGGTGAAAAGCAGGTGCACTATACTTGTCCTCTTAGACAGCACCCCTGAATTTCTCTCTCTCAATGTCACTTCACATATTTCTCCACATACCCTAACCCACTCATACCATCAGAGAGGACAGCTCTTTGATAGCCTTCTAAATGGTTCTAACCAATTCCTTTGAAATTTCTATGGGATAAATTGCCTTGAAATGGAACCATTTCAAGAGCCAAAGTGAAAAAGAAAGAATGGGTCCTGCTTTGATGTTCTGTTACACATAGCATCCGGAATATTGTCCTGGAAACACAGAATTTTTAGTGAATTTAAAATGATAGCATTGAGCCATGAAAAAGAAAGAAACTTGAGCTGAAGAAGGTACTCCATTACAAATGCAGAAGAAAACTAAGACAAAACACCAGTTCGTAAAAACAAAACAGAAAGTGGATGAAGGTAAGCACTTTCCCCCACATACAAACTATGACACTTAATATACGGGGTGTCTGTGGGTTCAGTCCTGATTCTGTTCCAGCTGAATCCATCACCCTCTTGGTTATCTCAGCTTCAAGTAGGATCTGGCAACTCCAGAATTTGCACCCAGGTCCCTCCCGTGACTCCAGACCAAATATTGCATTATTCATGTAACATTTCCATTGGTACACCTAGGAAGATCTTGACTAAGTGAACATGACTGAATCTGACCCCAGGCCTCTCTCCCCACTCCAACTCCTCCAGTCTTCTCATTCCAAAAGTGGTGATGCCTACCCCCACCTCCAGCTGCACAGGAGTCATCTACATAACAACACATTTTCTCAGCCTCCACTTTGCCAGTGCTACTGATTGATATTCCTGTCTATCCTGTCACTTCTCCCATTTCCTTGTTCATTTCAACCATCCTCATTTCAGCTGGGATAATTGCAGAGAGCTCCCAGAAGAGACCCTTCTCAGCCCTGGCATCTCTACAGTCATGCTGAAAACAGAAACCAGTGACCCTTCCGTTAGGGACATAGACCAGGACGCTTCTCTACCCCATCCTGCCCTCGGGATCCTGCCTCACTTAAAATGACAAACTCCTGATAAGGCTATTTTTTGAGTTGACTTCTCTGCCCCGTCTCTCACTTTCCTTAATCCCCATCAGATTCCTCCAATAGATCAGACCTCTTTCCACCTCACCTTTTTGCATCTTTAGCTGCAAATACACCCAGACTTACCCTCTGCCCTCTTTCATGTCATGTTGCCTAGTGGGACTTCTCTCACTTCATTATTTCACCCTGCAACATCCTCCTGCCTGACTCTCCCACCACCCCCCACCACCACCCATCGCCCCTCTTCCTTTCCTCACTTGCATTTGTCAACTGCAGAGAGACTGACTGGCTGTTTTCCTACCTTGTCTGTGGATCTGGCTCTCTGCCTTCTGATCCCAATATTTCTTCCATCTACAAGGGCAAGGATCTTTGTTTTGTTCTTCTACTTCTCTTCCTGTCACTAGAAAATAGCATAAGCATGTGCTCAATAAGTATTTGCTAATGGACAAAAGCAAGGGGAGAAGTCTGGATGACAGTGAACAGGGAGTACATACAAATCCCCTTTCAAGACTCCTCATGTGCAGAGACATAAGCTGATGTACTGATGGTAGGACATGAGCCCTCTTTGATGAAATGAGTGGTGGTGTTATAGTTGCCAAATGAGAGATTTGTTTACCTCTAAACTTGCTCTATTGGAAAGAAGAATAATAGGGCAAGTGAAGCAGGAGAATTTGCTGAGAGGGAGCTCCTTTCCACCCTGACAAATGACTCACAGCAGACAACGTTCCTGTCCCCACACCCTAGTGCCTGGTCTCCCTTGTTCCAGTTCCAGCAGAATGAACAATGACATACTGAGCAGTGAGCAAATGTGACAGAAGAGGAAGAGGCAACACACGGTGATCAAGGAAAGCTATGAGCCGGTTGGCACAGAGAAGACCTCAGCATAGCAGAGCACAGACCAAGGGAGGATGTGAACCTGAACACTCCATATCCTCAGCAAATTTCACCCACACAAAGTTATGTCTTTTGTTCAGACTCTACACCTCACTTGTGTCTGTATGTGTGCTTTTGTTTTATATGATTTTTTTCTACAAGAATCAGGACCGGCCTCTATGACAGGGAATGTCGGTGGGTCGCCTCTGAGGCTTTTAGGATGGGTCCACCGGGTATGAGCAGGGGAAAATGGAAAGGAATGTGAAGAATTCACATTGGTAAAAGTTGAGATGAGAGGCTGGGCAAGATGGCTGTCTATAATACCAGTTACTCATGAGGTGGAATAAGAGGATCACAGTTCAAGGCCAACCTGGGCAACAGTTAGAAAGACCCTATCTAAAGCAACCTGTGCATGGCGGCCCGTGCCTCTAATCCCAGCTACTCGGCAGTGAAGGTAGGAGGATCACAGTCTGAGGCCACCCCAAACAAGTCTGAGAATCTAACTGAAAAATAAAAGCAAAAAATACTGACTATGGTTCAACTGGTACAGTGCTTGCCTAGCAAGCATGAGGCCATGATTCAACCCCCAGTAGTGCCAATTAAAATGATGCGTATTTCTGTGGATTTCTCATTTCTTAAGGGCCATAAAAATATCATAAAACTATTTCCACTTTGGAACTGAAGGTCTGACTGAAGCGGTTGAGAACCTGCTTGAGGTTCTAAGTTCAATCCCCAGTACTGCCAAAAAAAAAAAAAACTTATTCATAAACATTTTTTGGGTAGGACTGGAGTTGCTACAGATCTGACAAGGGATTTATAACCAGAATTTACAGGACTTTATATTTGCAAAGCAGGTGCTCTACTGCTTGAACCACACATTCAAAAACAAGAATCTTGGAAGTAGAGGGACAGCTCTGAGATGAGACACAGGCACCAGCAGCTGTTCCTAGAGACATCACTGGGGCAGTGGCGGTTCTGCTCCACTGGCCCTGGGCAGCTGCTCTGCCATGCTTTTACTGACAAATTCCCAGAAATAGAAACCATTCCTGGGAACTATGACACATAAGACCATTTCTCTCATCTTTTTGCAGCTCCTCTTGATCTTGCTGCATTTTCGCACTATAAACGTTTTACTATATATTTAACTATGTTCTCATGTTTCTGTGTCTTCCCTGTTTTGGTGAGGAGGGTATTAAGATGATGACTGAGAGGGAAAAGAATTATAAAGTGACAATATATAACTTTCATCCTCATTGTCACAATCTGTTTATTATGTTAGTAAGTAGTACAAAAGGAGACTGGCTCATATCACATAGATTAATTGATAGCAAATGGTGAGTTACTGTCATGCTTCAAGCAAAACATCAATGAAAGCTGAAAACAGGCTATGGCTAAATAATCATTGCAGACAGTGTTCACAGGTGAAGAAATGGCTTTCCTCCACAGAAGATATTCTTTCTACTAGGGAAGAGCTGGCCTGCAAG